GCGAAGGCTTCCAGGACCCCGCATTTAGGCCTGGACCCGCCGCCGGCCTCCCGACCATGAACCGCATCCGCATTACGGCCAACGGCGTCTCTACGTCATTGCTTCGCGGCGTCGTATTGGTAACCGTGGTGACCATCTTGATCGTCGTGGCCTTCTTCGGCTACTCCTTCCTCAATGACAACCTCCACCGCGGCTTCCTGGGGCGGCAAGTGCACCACCCGCGCCAGAAGGTGCACCACGCCATGGCCAACGTGAAGAACGCCAACGCCGTCCCCGACCAAGCGAAATCTCACGTAGGAAACATTTACATTGACAACATTCATCACGACGATGAGGACTACTATGAAGACGAATATGACTATGAGGAGGATGAAGATGATGATGAGGAAGATGATGATGATGATGATGACGATGATGATGACGACGATGACGATGATGATGATGATGATGATGATGATGACTATTACGGTGAGGATTATGATAGACATGCGTTGAGATAGTGGGCCATCTGCATACAAAAATGAAAATCGATTATCATGTGTCCGAGATGTCAAGCTATACGTAAGTGCAGACTGAGCAATAATCAAAAGTGCTTTCTCTCATTAAATAAAATGCCAATTATAAATAAAGACTAAATTTCGATATGCTTATAAAATCAGGCTTGCTACTTAGCTGACAACACAAACGCAAACAAACACGCATGCACGCGCACGCGCACGCGCACGCGCATACACACTCACACACAAACAAACACACACACACACACACACACACGCGCGCGCGCGCGCTAAACATCCAATAAGATCGTGCCCTGTTAAGCAATACTATACGGAACTTGCCAAAGCACACGAATATATTGTCTATTCACCAACTCCAGACAGGAAACGAGAAAAAAGGGGAAGGGGGCATAGAGTACAGTGTTATACATTAATCTATCACAAAAACAAATAAATAGGGAAATCTTACGCATCAAACATTTCTCCTTTTCAGTGGCGAAACCTAAGTAAACCAGGCGCCAGGCAGTAAGCTTCGTTCTCACACCTCTTACAAACTGGAGAGCCTTCCAATGGAATCAACAGACAAGACTCGCCATTTTAGTGATATAGACTTTAATGTCATAGCCAAACAGCTGAAGTCTGAAACACTGTTATCTGTAATTTTGCGTGTGTTTGTGAGTTTATGCGTGTGCGCGCGTGTGTGTGACTGTGTGCGTCATTCTTCCTTTCAAGCAAAGTTTTCGCAAATTTATGTATAATGATACTGTGTGCTTTATGTGATTTATTTCAATCGTGTGGATATGTGATAGGTACAATGTTGATAAATAAAATGTAAGTTGATACAGACGGACTAATTGTTAACCTTTCGTTATAAAATATACTCATAGTAGCATGAATATTAATTCGAGTGATCTGGATAAAGAACACTAATAACAACAACAACAATAACCAATACGGTATCCGTAACAACAACGGTATGACAGCATGCAGTTATATAGCAATCCAAGCATTAGGGATTTATATAATCATTATCTGTCTTATTTTAGTTTTGTCAATATGTCAGTATAAATGTCTCTACTGCACTGTTACTATTGACACAATATTTGTCTTTGCCCTTGATAGAGCCTTTCTAATGTAAATCAACTCATTACAAGATTTACCATATAATCTATCAAGTTAAATTATTATTATCACTGACATTATCATCAGGGTCGTTACTCTCTTCCTTACAAAATATGTTACTATTAGCAAGATAATCTGCAAGGCTAATGCTACTAAACCACCATTATTTCATTCACACTATCCATTATTACTGATTTTAATATCGTTTCTAACATCAGTTGCTGCAACATACCCAATGCATTAACTTTAAAACCTCAAACCCCGGACGAGACAAGAGCCAACAGGGTCAGCAGCCGCAAGTACAGACAGTTTTCTAAAACAGGTGTCCGCACAGGTGAACACTGTCTGAACACCTGCTTGTTTTGCCAGCACACTGGATGAACACTCCGCGTATACTTCACGTTATGGAATATTGGGTCCTTTTACTGTCAGTAATATTAATACTAATGTTATTGTTATCAATATTGTCGTCACTATTATTCTTTATTATCATCATTATTATGAATAGAAGCTGTTTATTACTCTTAGTAATATCATTATTGCTATCATTGTTGTTGTTTGTTCTGTTGTTATCATCAATGTATTTATTGCAGCTCTTACTATAATCACCATTATTATTGATATTATTATTATCATCATCATCATCAATATTATCATTTTTACTTATTACTGCGCAATTACTTCTTACTTTCTATTTGTAGGCATGGATATAATACATATACACGTATATCAATTTGAAAGAAATATTTTACAAAGCATAACACTGCCAAGAAAGCTATCTTTTAAATAACATATGAGAAAGGTTTTCAAGTGCCAGGCCAGACGGCGCACACACACATTCATGAGATTCATTAGATACGTACAAAAGATATCACGTGAGA